GCGGCTACATTATACCAAGTCGTGTAAAGGAAAATTCTTGGTGTTGGGAAGAACCTAGATTCAAGAGTTAGGCTTCGTTCTTCATTACTTCAGTTTGAGATCAAGATTTGCTACCATTTCTTAGCATTCACCCTTACAAAAACTTATAGTATTTTTGAGGTTTATATGAGGTAGTTTTGAGGTGTCAAGGTTGATTTGAGGTTTATTCGAAGTTGATATCAAAAACAACGTTAAAAGATCAAGCTCCCGAAATGCATAATCAAAGTGTATAAAGTTGTTTTATTGCCACTCCAGGTTGTTTTGAGGTTGATGGAAATCTACTTTAGAGCAACCAGCTTTGGGAGGTTGATTTTGAGGTGTACGGATTATTTTTTCTACACTTCAAATACTTATATTTTAGGTGTGAATAAATTCACCCGATCTAGGCTAAAATTATTTCTGAGCTATAAACGAGGTGTAAATGAAGTTTAAATTGAGGTTTATCAATGAGGTTATTATTGGTGCAAAACATAACCTAATTTCATACCTCAAATGTATTTTTTTTACATCTATTAACCTTAAAAACACCTTATTTTTTTGTAGGGGCATATAAATGAAAATTTTTTATGATGTGGAGATTTCCAAAGTTTCAAATGAAGTATACGTCAATTTTATATTTATTTTAATTTTGCTTTATAAAATATAATTTTTTTGGTAATTAATTCCAGAGAATTTATTTAAAATTTCAAGGAAAAATTTTTGAAAATTTTAATCTCTTAATAAACTTATATTTTACTAGAAAATATTGAGCTTAACGATTTGGGTGTGGTGCGTTTAAAACACTATATCCTCTGACAGCAGCTCTAGACATCATTTTTTATAGTCTTACTATAATTTGTTATTGTGTCATACTTTAAATTTAGTCATTTAAAATTCCACCATTGCAACCATATATTCATGAACTACCTTTAAACACCTCACGAATCTCTTGGGGGTTGCAAACCACTGGTTGGGGATAAAATGGCTTATGATATGATATGTAATGCTACACAACAACAAATTCTAGACTGATATTGATTTTTATAGTAGTTACACATAAACAAACATATCAATATAAATTGCAATTACATTAATTGCAATAATTATGAATTGGGTTTTAGTAAGTAATTAAGTTATTAATTTCTTTTTCATACATCCCTTTCTTCCCAAGCATTTATATTTTATGGAAAACACAATAATTTTAGGTAGCGTTGTGATTGTTAATTAACTGTATTTAAAATAAATCATATTCAACAGTTTATACCAATTATAGATTATAAATAGTCTTAATCCCAGAGAAATGAAATGAAAAAAGAGTTTATCATTTCAAATATTTGCTAAAACCATATACCATTCAAAATTGCTAATATTCGTTTAATTGGAATTAATATTTATTACAATATAACCAATAAAGAAAACCAATAATAGCGTAAACCTTTTTGCTGCAAGCAACGAAGCTTTGCATTTAATAATCTTAACAATTCTGGTTCAGGAAATTATAATTGTAATGGCGAAATTTTAATTGACTAATGAAAAATTGAAATAGCAAAATATTAAATTATACGTAGGACTTTGAAATTATATATAGGATTGTAGTAGTGTCTCGCATTCATCACATACATGGGAAATATGTACCACACATGTGTTTCCAACCATTACATCAAGTTATTCGTTAGAAAAAATTTACAATAAAATTATTCTTTTACTAATAAGGAAGTTAAACTTTAAATAAATATTTTTGAGTTAATTTCGAAAAAAGGAAAGTTTATAAGTAAAAATTAAAATTGATACGTTCTCAGGACATTTTTTTAGTACTCATGCTTAATTATTGCTTCCCCAGGTCTCAAGAATAATCAAACTCTTAAATGAAATATTTAATAACATATTTATTATTTCTGCAAATTAATACGCACTAAATGTTAAAAAAATTCTAAATGTTGCTCAGAGTAAAATATTTTAAAAATTAATACAATTTAGCTGAAAATATAAATTAAATTATGGCGAAATGATATTGTCGGTGAAATGAACTGTCAGTGGAATCATGTCAGCGAAGGGGTCATGTCAGGTAAGTAAGTTGTCGGTGAAGTGATTGTCTCTTTAGAATTTATCCCCAGCTTCCAATTATTATGGATTTTCCGTATTATTTTTTTATATTTAATGTGATAATAAAATATATAGAAAAAATTTAATCATTGGATTTTTATAAGTTTAGTTTAAAATTATTTTTACTTTATGCAAATCAATCAATTATGTATATAAACGGTGTCCCAAAATATGGGCAAGATTTAAATTTGAATTAAATAAAAAAAAGCACTTTTTTTAAATTCAATCATATATTCTTTTTATCTTTTGAACATGAAGTACATAGGATAGAATTTATGTACCCTATCTACTTCATTGGATACATTGGATACATATAGAGAATGGGATACATAGTTTAACTGTTGAATACTTTATAGGATACATAGCTTAAGCATAGCGTATAGCATATATAAATATCTCATGCAGTATTTGTGCTTTTGAAATGTAGGTCAACAATGAAAACTCGCTGTTCTCTTCATTTGAGGTACATTTTTCCCTAACCTATCAACTGCCAAATTGTTTTTGTTTTCACTGAATCAATTAATTTACAATTTAGTTCAAATTTTGACTAAATTTTGAAATACCCTTTACATACGTTTATTTATCTAAAATTGTATTTCAATTATATTTTTACTACAATTTGGAAAATTCTAGGAAGTAATAAAACTTGGCAGGTTAAAATGTACATATATAATTTTTATTCGTAAGATTGAGAATAATATTTGTTAGCAATAATCCAGGGTAAGCAAGTATTCATCAATTTATATTAATTATACTAAACTCCACATTTAGTTCTGAAATCAGAACATTGTTATGTAAAGGGCCGTAAGGCCTCAGACGCCCAGTTCCACTACAACGAACGAACGAACGAACATTGTTATGTTTCTAAATCAAATTCGGAGCTAAATCTTTCAAATATCAGCATAATTCAACCACAAATGTACTATCAGTTAATCTCACAAAGATGTTTTTTTCATTTTCATAACAATTTAGTCATGCATTAAAAGTTTTTCATCATAGAGTGATTTAAAGCTCATAATATATAAATTTACCTAATTTGTATGTACAAGAGTTAAATTCGCTCTATATCAAAGTTATTACTTTAGATCGAAGTGAAAATTTACTTTTTTGCTTTTAAAGATATTTCCTTCCAGAGAATAAATAAATTTGACAGGTATACAATATTTTATGTCAAGCTAAATTATATTCATACGAAAATAAATGATGCATTTTTTTAGAAAGAAAATTAATTAAAACAGTCTATCTCTTTTTTTGTTTTTTCTTTGATAAAAAAATACCTTTATAAAAAATTCAATTTCTCTTTCTTAATACAGTTATATTTAATGTATACATAGTCCACAACACGCAAATTAGGACGCAAACATTAATAACGTTCTCCCAAAACACTCAGATGGCGTTCGCGAAATGCTTTTCTGAATTAATGCCAATAGATAGTAACTTTTCGAAAGAAAAGGGAAAACGCAGAGCAACAAAATAAAATATTTAGACTAGTGCTTCGCGCATAAATAAAATAGGAGGTCAGGGACATAACATTCCGTTTGCTGTGCGATGGGTTGTTGATCTTCAGGATATTTTGGATTTAGTCTGAAATTCTTGTTCTTTTCACGATTCTATTGATAGATTTAGGAAATAAAATGGGCAACAAAACGTGTTATACTCTTTTAAATTAAATATAAATTTTCTCATTAATATTGTTATGATATAGACTAACTTTCTTGCTAATGTTTTAATACATTTAGATATGAAGAAGGACACTAAAACGTGTAATAATATTCTTATAATATTCCTCGTGTAATATTCTTCTCTAGCTATTAGAATACTTTACAAAGATTAGTCGTATAATTCTACTGATAAATGTAAGTTACAAAAAGGTAAACAAAATTTTTAATATTTTTAGAAATGAAATCGTTGTAACGATAAGAATTCCTTATTAATATTTTAATAATATAAATTAACTGTTACTGTGTTTACGATTCCATTGATAAATTTAAGAAACAAAAAGAACAAAGAAATGTGTAATACTTTTAATAATAAAGTAAATTTGTAGCTGTTGGAATTCCTTATTAATATTGTAAAGCAACAATTAACTGTCTTAATTTACAGATAAGTTTAGAGCACAGAAGGCCAACAAAACGTGCAATGATCTCAGAAATGAAATAAGTTTGCAGCTATGAGTTTTCCATATTAATTTTGTAATTACAATCATTAACTGCAGTTATGTGTACAATTGTGCTGATAAATTTAGGAAACAAAAAGAAGAAGAAAATGTGTAATACTTTTATAATTGAAATATTTGTAGCGATAATAGTTTCATATTAATATTGTAATAACATAGACTTAACTGTTTTTAGAATTCTATTGATAAACCTCGGAGACGAAAACGGCGACAAAACACATACTTCTCATATTAGTGAATTATATTTGTATGTATAAGGATCCCATCTTAATATTATAAAACATAGATTCTTTACTTTTACAATATATTTATATAGTTTAGAGCAACAAGACGAGAGAAGAGAAATTTAGGAAATTAAATTGCTCCAAAAAAGGAAATATGTTCGTAGCTTTAATAATTCCTTATTGATATCGTAAAACATAGATTAACTGATTTTGCAATTCTATTGATAAATTTAAGAAACCAAAAGGTAGCAAATCATGAAGTATTTTTAGAAATGGAGTCAATTTTAGCTATAAAGATTCCTTATTAGCATCGTAAAAGTATTGTTTTTACGATTCTTTTGATGCACATAGGAAACAAAAAAGACAACAAAAATCGAATACTGTTAAAAAAGAAATATATTAGGAGTTTGAGAACTTCTAATATTTATTTAAAGCTTAGAAAAACTGTTTAACAAAAGTAAATTAAAACATTTACTTACCAATGGTAATGTTACTTTGAAATCCTATAAAAATATTTTCGAAATTCAAAAAAGTAGTAACAAAATTATTTCTTGATTAACACGTAAATAAAACAAATCATTCGTATTCAATTTAATATAATATAACAATGAATGAAATATTTATATTTAATGTACTATAAAACAGTAATATATAACTGTTTAAATTTATTGCAAAACGATAAAATTTCCATTTAGTTCAAAATTAATCAAACAAATTGTTCTATTTTTTAAATGTAGTCTGGATTATCCAAAAATTAAACCGGTTTGCACATTAACTAACTTGTATTATTGAAAACACGACAAAAAAATTGTCATAGTGTTGATGGGATCTAGAAAGAATTGAAAAGTGAGGGACAAATTTAATGAAACCGAAGAAGTTCAAAAAATTCGGAATATTTTTAGTTGAATATTTAGAAAGGTAGTACGTTTTATGATTTATTATTTAGTTATTGATTTAATAAAATTAGATTTAAAATAATTTTTCTACCAACTGCTCCGGACACGCCAACTGCTGCTGAGATGCCAACTGCTCCGGACACGCCGAAATAACTGAAAAAATGGTAAATAACTACAAGTAAATTTTGCATATATTTGACTATTTTTGCTTGCTTTTTAAAAGGTAAAGCCTGGCATAAGTATTCCAGAGTGGGGAATCACATAAGCCTACAAATTATTTAGAAACAGTGGTGGATAAAAATCTACTAAATTAAATTCATTTAACCGAGAATCACAATTGATAAACTACCACTTTAAAATGTATATTTGCTGTCCGGAGCAAGTTGGCATCTCTGTACCACTAGCTATAAACAACTTAAATAAAAAATATTTAACTAATTAAATGCAAATAAAATAATTAAAGTGCAAAAAAAATAATTAATATTTGCCAAATAATTAGCCAAATAACTTATATTGTTATTTGGCTACCCCTATTTAATATTCTTGCAAGCTAGGACTTCTAGATAGGCAGCTAGCTGGAAGGAAGTGGCGTTTTATAAAGTATTTACATAATTTATATACAGTGGCGTACGAAATAACTTTAAAAAATAAAATAAAACAAGATTAAATTAGAATAAAATCAAATTTACTAAACCAAAAACTACAAACTAATACAGATTTTTTTAAACTATGAGCAGAGATGCCAACTGCTCCGGACATGCCCAAATAATTAAGAAAACGGTAAATAACTACAAAGTAAATTTTGCAAATATTTGACTATTTTTGCTTGCTTTTGAAAAGGTATTGCATGACATAATTACTACAAAGTATTGAATTATATGAGCCTACGAATTGTTTAGAAATAGTAGTGGATAAAAATCTACTAAATTGAATTTATTGAACCAAGATTTACAATTGATAAACTATCACTTTAAAATATATATTTGCTGTCCGGAACAAGTTGGCATCTCTGTACGAGTTGCGATCTGCACTGAGGTCTCGAAAATTTAAGATAAAATATTCTACCACTATTTAAGTTTTCTTGCGGATCAAGTAGCATTCGTCGAATATGAGGAGTCTTGTCTTAGTCTTGAAATTTGAGCTGAGCACGTGGGGTAGAACTTTAAAGTTAGTGTCTCTGTGGTGGCTGTTAACTGAATAAGAAGAATCTTGCTTTTTAAAATGTCTTATTAGGATAATGTTAAAAATTATAGTGGTAGTTAAAACTAAAAATTGCTTATTTCATTTTTTCATTATGTCATATTTTGCCATCTCTACTAAATATTCAATTTCTGCCTCTTCGGTGCATATGCTTCACACGCTCCCCTTAGTTCTTTAAAGCAGAGGTTCCCAAATATTTTGGGTTACGGAACCCTAAATGTTCAACCATCTTTGAACGGAACCCCGAAACTTAGAAAAATTATAAGCAAGTGTGAAAGTGGCTCAGAGGATAAAGCGTCCGCCTTCCAAGGAGGTGAACCGGGTTCAAATCCCAGCGATGGCTGGTCGATACGAGTTCCGCACCAATCACAGTGCTGACGTGAAATATGCTCAGTGGCAGACGGATCATTGATAAAAGTCCCCTTGCCGTCAGGCTAACCGTGGGAGGTTTATGTGATTTTCTTCTCCATGTAACGCAAATACTGCAGAGATGCCAACTTGCTTCGGACAGCGAATAAATATGTTCCAGTGGTAGTTTATTAATTGTGATTCTTTGTTTAATAAATTTAATTTATTAGACTTTTATCCACCACTATTTCTAAATACTTAATAGACTTATATATTCACCACTTCATTATAGTTAAGTCATGCTAAACCTGCTAAAAAATTAGCAAAATTTTTCAAATATTTGTAAATTATAGTTAGTAGTTATTTACCGTTTTTTAAATTATTTTGTCTTGTCCGGAGCAGTTGGCATCTCTGATACTGGTTAGTTATGTCATGTAATCGTAGCAACCCCCTCCTCTGCGCATCGCCCCGTCCTCAGATAGTTGAAATGAAGATACGGATGAGAGCGGACGAAAATAAACGCCCTGGTTTATTTACGATGCTTTAGTTTTTAGTGCATGTGTTTTATGTTGTTTTATTCTTAAAAAAATTCGTTTTGTTTCATATTCGTCATTATTTCTTCATATTAAATTAAAAAGAACCCATCAAGTTCCATCAAACATTCCTTCACGAAGGCAAATTTCTCTCAATACTTGATCCTGAAGTTCCCTTATCTTCAGGATTGGATTCAAAATTAAAGGCTACGGAGTAGAATATTAATAGTTGTTAAATTCAAAATTGGTTCAGCTGTTCAACGACGGTCATAAAATAAAATATAAAAAATAAAAATGAAAAAGGACTAAAATAAACGATGAGAATAGTTATCAGATCAGTATTAAATGAGTAATGGAAAATATATAAATTAATTACAGGGATATAAATTTAATTACAGGGCTTCGTAATTGATAATAATGTTTTATAAAGTCGTAGTTGGCAAAAAAAAGTTTGAACTCTCGGAACTCATGTGACCTTTCCACGAAACAATTAAATTCCACAGAACACCATTTGGAAACCACTGCTTTAAAGCACTGAACAGTTCTCTTTTCAGGAATGCAAAAAGTGACTATAAAAGTAAAAAGTTGTCGAAACTCCATTCACTTTTATCTTCTACTCTTTACTTATTCAATCGTAAATATTGCCATGACTTACATTCTGAAGTATTCATTTTTAAAACAAAATTATGCTATGCTTTTACTTACAATATTAATGAAAAAAAATATGGTAAAAAAAGTTCTAATGAAAAGTTCCAAAATTTTAATTATATTTCGAATTTTATTAGTCAGCACTTTTTGTATTTGGCAATCCTATTTTTTTCGTATCTGTATTCTTTTAAGAAACCTGAATAAAAATTAAGTGGATGAAAAAACATTGAGCATGTCTACTTGCTCGTCTTACTATAGCAAAATTAAAACTTTGACGATTCAATACATGTGGCAAAATTCTGGGTTAAAAAAAATTGTGGTAGGCAAAGTATTTCGTTTTATATCTTATTTTAGCTCAGAATAATACTGGTTTCTCTAATTTTATTCAACAATGTTAATCCAAAATAAAAATTATTCTACTTAGAATTAATCTGAGGCAAATTCATAAAAATTAAAAATAAAGCTGAATCAAATTTGTTAGTTAATTTATTTATTATTTTATACTTGTTACCACTTGTATTATCTTTTTCATTTTTGCCATTGCGCGATATCAGAATAAAATAATAGACAAACTGAACATTAGTTCAATGTCATCAGAATATTTTCTATCATACTTAATCTTGTACAGCACTGACAATTCAATGAATTCTTAAAACAGGATTAATGAATTCTTAGAGCTTAGATCTTTCCAAAAAGAAAAAAACCAATGAAATGTTTTTATTATCAAATGTTTGAATTTTTATTGCAGTGGATAGAATGCCAGGTATGACGGTTTTAATATTTAAATGAATAAAGTACCTGCATCATAGGAGAACCTTCTTTTGCTTGGCTCATTCTGGACTCCTCCCAGACCGAAGCTACGCCAGTGTTTTGCTGAAATGAGAAAAAAAACATTTCAAATTCTCCAAATATTAATTACATACTAAATAAACATTTGTGCAAGTTTTCTTTCAGGGAAAGAGTTGCTTAAAACTCAATATTGTACACCTCTATACATCACGTTTTATACGGCCGGGATAGCCTGGTCGGTAGGGCGCTGGGCCCATGTTCGTGGGTTCAAACCCCGCCAGCCGAAGACTCCCCGTGTAGTAAAATGATTGATGCACGTTAAATCTGTCGAGTCGCAAAAGTCCTCCATGTTCCCATAGCAAATCAATACCTCTGGGGGTACTGGATTGGAGATCGATCATTCTCTGATTCAGGTCAAAATTACGATCTGTGGATGGATGTATGATCCAGTGATCCGCCCTATAAACTGGTGCGAAGTATGGTGTGGCAGAAGTCGAATTCTTGGCCATAAATGGCGCCAATGAAAAACAAGAATCGCACACTCTGCCTTAAATTTGCTCGGTTTCACCAAGCAGGCTTGCACCGTGTGACAAGTGGCATTATAACCAACCAACCAACGTTTTATATAATTATCTTTTACTCTTCTGAAACGCCCCGCAGTGGACTGATCGTTAAGACACGGTTCCCATCAGATCACTGAAGTCAAGCATCACTGGCTACGGTCAGTGTGCGGGTGGGTGACCACTTGGATCAGTCTGCGTAGGGACCGAGGGTGTGCGGTATTGGTCCTCGTTAAACTGTGCTACCGTAAAGTGCTCGACATCACGCGCAGGTCGTCGGGCTACCGAAGCGGGGGTGCCATCCCCTCCGCAGAGGATCAAAATGCACATGTTCAAGCTTGTATGCAAAGACGCCTTATAAGCCCCTTGTAGGCCGGGATAGCCTAGTCGGTAGGGAGCTGAGCCCATGTCCGAGAGTTCGTGGGTACGAACCCCGCCGGCCGAAGAAGAATTGTTGTTAAGTGATTGATGCACGTTAAATCTGTTGAGTCGCAAAAGTCCTCCACGTTCCCATAGCAAATCAAAACCTCTGGGGGTACTGGATTGGAGATCGATCGTTCTCTAACTCAGGTCAAAATTACGATCTGTGGATGAATGAATGGATGTATGAATGGGTCCGCCTTATAAACAGGTGTGACGTATGATGTGGCGAAGTCGAATTCTTGGCCATAGATGGCGCCACTGAAACACAAGAATCGCACACTCTGCCTTAAATTTGCTCAGTTTCACCAAGCAGGCTTGCCCGTGGGGCAAGTGGCATTAAAACCAACCAATCATAAGCCCCTTGTTAGGTTGTGGAACAGATTGCACAAATTAGAGAAGGACATCAAGGGGACAAGGAGATATCAAATTAGAGAAGTTTTACGCTGTAATATAATAATTTATAAAAATTTGAATTAATTTAAATAAAAAATTAACATTTCTGGAAATAATGTAATTTCTGTGAACATAATTCTTGAGTGCATTCATATCCTCCAACTTGATGGTAAGGGGTAATAAAATAAAATTTAGAGTAGGAACAGCTTTCTAAAAATTAAACTACTTCATCAGTACCTAAAAACGCTTAAAACGGCCAACACTTCAAGGAACGATTCAAATTAAATGGTTCAGAATTTTTTTTTCTGTAAGCTTCTAACTTAAGGTAGTTATACATGCAAAAAATAATCAATGAACTTATGACCATGTAGTGTGTCTACAACTACAAAAAAACAATTTATATTCCCTAGTATATAAGAATTGTTAACTCGATACTATGTTGGGGTACCTTTTCATAGATGAAGGTAGACTTTATCGATTACTATCGTCACATTGGTGACCCGGGCGTGATGTGAACATGCCAACCTTATCAGAAACACCAACTTCGATTTGAACACTTCGATGGATGGTCCATATTGAACAGTTGACTTGCTACTTGTGACTGCGACATTATCCACTTCCTCGCGCTCACACAACGTACAATGTATTCATTCGACTGGACACAGGAGCAACTATGACCGTGAACTTAATACAGATCTCACGATCAGCACTCAAAGTCCGGTGATCTTAATGCAGCTCTCCCGGCAATGAATCTAGTGGTATCAGTTCATCGAATACTATCGCAGATATAATTCTGGTGAGGGAGTACTGTAGTGTGTCGACCACTACAAAAATACAATTCCAATTCACTAGTATATAAGACATGTTAACTCGAATTTATGATAGGGTACCTTTACGTAGATGAAGGTTGACATTGTCGATAACTACTTTCCCCACTGCCATCTTTACAAAGGTATTTTATATTACTGGAATTTTTTTCTTCGTTTGGATATTTTTTTTCATTAATCCCAGAAGTAATTATTTCTAAAACAGTTCATGTGAGCAGTACAGTACTGCGCATATTAATTGAATCGAAAGCATTTTGGAAAACAATAGTTTATGGGGCATATTAAGACACTTTGTCCTTAATTGATATTTAATACACTTTCCCTTTGATTAGCCTGTTTAACTGAATTTGCTAAAGAATCTAACAAATTTTAATAGTTTTGGACAAATATTTCACCCCAACACCAAATATTTCACCTCCGTTTCTAGGTCACTTTAAAACAACCACTTTGTTTTTGATGAAATATTATTTCTTTTTTTTTCTTTCTTTTCTTGTAACATTTGCAAAGAGCCAAGTTTTGTTTAATCTCGATTAAAACCTATTGCCTGACTTCTTTCTGTTTTACTTTATTTTCCTGCACTGGTCACGAATTTTTTTTACGAACCAGAAATTTCAATAAAAACGAGTCATCATTCGTTGTCGTACGAATAAAACTCATAATATCTATTCTCTTCTTAAAACTAGAAAAATCCAAATATTTGTACACTTTCTATGATTGATTATTAACTGGCAATAGCCTATTTCTGACTTATAGGATTGGAGAGATCAAGGCTTTCTATTTTTGTAAACAACGGTATGATGGTGACATTATTCTCAGAATTGCGATTAGACCATCTTTATTTCTCATTTATAGATCTAAATCCATTTATACAAGTACTTGATCTTACTTAATTTGGGCGTTGGGTTTTCGAATCGGATATTAGTTTAATTCGAAAATATCTTTTGTTTAATGTATTTTTTGTCTGAATTGACCAGCTTAATACCAGCTTAAATACACCTCGTGGCAGAATCAGGGCGACATTGTCGCAATAATTTACAGATTTCTTGCAGAAAGATTTTTCCTTTGAGAAGTAAAAAAATTTGGTTTGCTTTTCTACAGAAATTTGCGCGTATAATTTGAATGGCGCATTTAAATAATCACTTTTTGACAAGCTCAATTTTTACCGATATCATATATCTATTTTGATTGTATTTTTTGGCAGTTATTGGCATTGATTTTTACGTGGCTTTTAGATATCCCGATATATTTCAGGCTATGTGAGACATTCGAATTGCGCAATTGATTCTTTACATTTTAAAGCAATGATTCTATAAATTGTTTTGGCAGTTATTGTTTTTGATTTCCACATAGATTTTTAAACCCGATATTTTTTATACGAAATTATTTATTACAACAATCAAATCTAGAAGCGAAACATGCACTTGAGTAACCCCTTTCTGAAGAGTCCAATTCGTGGGATTTTGTCATTGATCTGTGTTTCGGTAATTACTACTACAGGTTTCTTGATATTTAATTAGTTTTTTAATGTGATGATGATTTTCAAAATTCGATAAAGTAAGTAATTACTGCTCCCCCCCCAACAAAATGCGAGAATACCGTGCATAATATTGGAATAATTCATGCATAATATTATTAATTCATGCATATATTATTAATTCATGCATATATTATTAATTCATGCGTTATGCATATATTGTGCGTAATATCATTAATTATTTTTTTAATTTGATGATGATTTTCCAATGCGATAAAGAAAATAATTAGTGCTTTCCCCCTTCCAACAAAATGCGAGAATATCGTGCATAGTATTAAATAAAAAAAAATATTACATTTTCAAAAATTATTTTTGGTAAACACAGCATCTTTGTAATTTTAAATTAGTAACATACATCTTTGCAATTATTGAAAACATCTTGAAGAAAGATGTTAGTGATGGAGAGTTTTGTCGTAGAAAGCCCGAAAAAAGTCTGTCATAAGGCATATACAATTGTGTGCTTCTCCAAAAACAACACTTAAAACAAAAAACATAAGACCTTAACGCCTGTATCATAGAGGCCAACTGCTCCGGACACGCGAAAATAATTACAAAATCGGTAAATAACTACAACGTAAATTTTGCAAATATTTGACTATTTTTGCTTGCTTTTTAAAAGGTAAATCATGACATAAACATTATAAAGTGGTGAATTATATAAGTTTCTGAATTATTTAGAAATAGTGGTGGATAAAAATCTACTAAATTGAATTTATTAAACCAAGATTCACGATTGATAAACTACCACTTTAAAATATATATTTGCTGTCCGGAGCATGTTGGCATCCCTGCTGTATTATCGCTTTCTTCCGACCTCTCCCAACGTAGCAGATAAGTGGGGCGTAGCAGATAAGCAGCGTAGCAGATAAGTTTTCTTTATTTTAGAATTTCTCAATCAGTATAAAAAATTTTAAAAGCAGGTATAAAGTATTCAATTGAAAATAAAACCTCGAAAATATTTCTCACCATTCATAAACACTCGCCAACTCTAAAAAAAAAACTCAATAATGATTCGATAGAAAATAAAATGTAGCATTTTTATGTTTCTTACATTAACATATATGTTTGTTAGATTTTAAAATAAAATAAAGCAAATTATAATTTAAACCTTTAAATCTACATTCGGAACTCCCCATACACATTATGTATTTTAGTTCTCCTCAATCAATACAAAAATAACATTAAAAAATTAAAAAGGAAAAAAATTCAATTTTAAAATATAGTCCAAAGATTATTTCGTGCCATCTAATGAATCCTCGTCAATTCTAAGATCAAATGAAGAAGGGGAAAAAAAACACTCCCTTGGGATTCGCCAACAAGAGCAAAAGAAATAAAAAAGAAAATCATATCTACGGCAAGCTTTTGATCAATTATGCCAAAACCCAAATAAATATTAATAATTCATGCTCTTCATTCTATCTTGTTTTTGGCGTCGATCAATAATTTTAAGACACTCGGGTAGCCCGATAAATAAAGCTACAACACATGCCCACACCTGATGATTCTCTTGGAAACTCGACAAAGATGGAAGAAATAAAAAAAAGAATAAATGAATAAAGACATGAATATGCCTGCGAAATTTTCATCGCAACCTTTGGGGAATATACTCCTTGTTTACTCGACTCGGGATATATATTAGGATATATATCAAACTACCACCAATGAAAGAGAAGGATTAGATTTCGTTTTCCCTTGAGAGAGTTGCTTTTCAAGAAAGTCTTTCCCTTTTTTGAATCGGAAGAAAGGTAACTGTGTAATTGATTAACGCCGGTGCATTTCGGTTTTATTAAATTTGGGACCGCCTGTGACTGTATTTTTGCCTTCTGTCATCGGTATACGGAAATCAGCAAATTATATTTGCTTCTTTCTTTGTCAGCGTCTTCGTTTAAAATGTCGACAAAAGTCTCCAAAGACGCTTGTTTGTCTTCAGATGCAAAGATAAATGAATGAAAGCATTTGCAGTTTGAGTAAATTCAAGATGCTCAGATTCAGTGAAAGCTCTTTTTTTTTTGGAAGAAAAAAAAATTCGTGCTCTGAATAAATCCATGCTCTTTTAAACTTTTACAAGTTAATTTTTAATAAGATGGTTTCTAATAAGAAATCATTACAGGAGGATGAACAATTTTTAAAAAAATGATGGATGTTAATACAATGTGCAGGACTGCCCACTACTACGATTTTTAGAAAATATTTCATAAAGTGGTAATCAATTCACGACTAAAACTTTAAGCTTGGTGCAACATCTCCACATCACCCCTTTAACAACTCAAAATATGCCAGAATAAAATCCTCAGGAAAATAACAAAAGCAAGATGGTTTATTCGCAATAAAAACATACATCGCGACCTCAACATAGATTTTTTAGATCATCATATTGCAAAGTTAAATTTCAGATTTTTCGAAAAGACCATAAATTGTGACACCGCAGGATTCAACGAAATTTTAACTTTTGAAAACTTAAGAGAAGATATAAACCTCAGACCGATGGCAGCTCATTTTTGTAGTGACGTAATTTTAACTAAAATACAAACTATTTAATTTCCTTTTATTCCAATTGCATTCCAATTGCCAGAAAGAACCACCTTAAAGACCACAATACAAGACGAATGGGGAAAAGGTCGCTAACGGCCCCAGGCGCCCAGATATATTTCTATGATGATGATAATGACTAAAACTTTAAGAATTTTCGGTAATTTCGCTAACATTTTAGAAGCCTCAATGCGAGAGAGCAGGAACAATGTGGCGTCACGAGTGAGATTTTGAACCATTTAATACTAATGGTGGGGAAAATAACTTTAAATCAAACTTACAAAACAAAAATCGTACATTAAAGCCTAATGCTTAGCTACCAGCAGTAGAAATTTCCCCCAAAAAGCATAGAAAATTGGTAGTCCTGCTATCTGTCAAAGGTACAGGTGACTTTTGCTTTGTATGATACAATATAAAATGTTCATATAATATATAGTGTATGATATACCATATAATGTTTTCGAAACTAGAAGAACCGTACGAAAGGTGAATGGATGATTTATACTAGCTTGCTTAAGCTACATTGTATGCGAGTGATGTAAAATTACATTTTTGAAGATCTAAATGTCGCTGCAATCACATAAAGGTTTAAAAACTGATAGGTTTTAAAGTTGAAGCTATCACAGTAAGTTTGCTTCTGCGTTGATAAAATTTTACTACTACTTCATTAAAATTTAGTGATTGTCAAGGCCAAGGTACAAAGCTTCGTTTGAGAAGAGAATTTAAATATCATGCTTTTACACACTAAGTACAAAGATGCCAATTAGCTTCGCTATGTAAAAAATATATTCCAGTGTTAACAAAATGTTAGTAATTTTTAGTTCAGTAATTTTTATTCTAAGTTATTTGTTCACCACTACGAATGAAAAAATATAAGTGTTATATCAAAGGCAACCCAGTAGTTTCCACGAGACTACAGTTTAAAAAAAAGCGGAATTATTCTATAAGTTCTAATATTTGAATCGCTACAAATTTATTAAAACTTTTGCAAAAAACAAAGCTGCCAGCTGCTTCGCTTTCTGAAAAAGGTTTAATTAAAATTTAGTTTACAAATTTAATTTTTAGTGAATTAAATGGAAAAATTGTAGAATAAAAACAATTACATTTACTCGTTATAAATCTCACCACGATTTAACTTCAATAAAGTTGCTTTTCATATGATACTTTGAAATTTTGATAAGTATTGGTGGAAAAATTACTTAAAAGGAAAATATTAAGCAAAAAATAACTCATATTTCGTTACCGCACTAATTTAGATTTCTTTTCAAAGCAGAGCAAGTTGTCATCCCTGTATATTATTACATCCCCTGTATATTAGTATTCCCTGTATATTAGTACATCCCTCTAATTACGATTGACAATTTTACAAATTCTTTATTGTCATGACACAGAAAAGTGGTCCATGTATAAAAAACAACTATATAAAAAGAGTGGTGATAGATATTTGTGTCATTTGGATATTTCTCTCTATTACCTACCACTTTACCATTAATTAACGATGTCCGAATAATTTTTAACACTCACTATATAGCATTAATTAAAGACATCGGGATAGTTATTAACAAGCAGTATAAACATTGATAAACGATATCAGAATAATTTTAAAACTCAAAATATGGTATTAGTTAACGACATTAGAATAATTTTTTACATGCAGCAAATAGCGTAAGCTAACGATGTCTGAATAATTTTTAACGCTCACTATTTCGCATTTGTAAACGATATCAGAATATTTTTTAGCACTCACTAAGTAGCATTAATTACCATTAGTTAACGATTTCGTAATAACTTTTAACACTCGGAAAAACAATGTTAGTTAACAATATACGAATATTTTTTAACACTGACTATTTCGCATTAAATAACGATATTAGAACAGTTTTACTTAGCAAATAGCACAGGTTAGCGATATCAGAATAATTTTTAACGCTCAGCATCAGGCAACGATCACAGACAAACTTTTAATACTCACTATATAACACTACTTAACGACAACCGAACAATATTTACCTCTTACTATATAAAATTGGTCAACGATATCAGAATAGTTTTTAACACTCACTATATACTTAACTAACGATCTAAGAATAATTTTCACTATACATAATTAACTAATGATATTAGAATAGTTTTAAACGACCACTGTAAGGTTAGTTAACGATAACACAATAATATTTTAACACTCACTATTTAACAGCATAGTACCATCAACTGTTTTTCCTTACATGACAACCGGGCGATTCACATAAATGACCTGTTTGCACATTATTTGAAAGCTCTGATTAAACCCAGACGAAGACCCAAGACCTGGGAGGGGTCACAGGACCCAAACATTTTGGGTCCTGTGACCCACATTTTCATCAGCACTCTCTAAAACATTCGCGTTTTATGAGATATTGTATCTGTTTCTGAAGTACGGGTTTATTTTCGTATAAAAATTTTATTGGTAACAAGATATTATTTACACTAGAAAAACACCTCACACTGTAGTGTGTTTTATATGTCATAACTAAAATAATAGTTACATAATATTTATAATGACACATTCGTTATTTTTTTTATCACGTGCTTTATTGTTATAACCTTCTTAATGCATATATTTTTTAAGCACCTTTGTTTATTTTTAACAAATTAAAATACCTAAAAAATAGCATTACTTAAAGGACAGTTGAAGGTCAATTCTGAAAAGAATACTCCTGAATTGTATTTGATTTAATGATTAGAATCTTATGAAATAAATTTCAATTTTTATGAAATTGCGTTACAGGTTCAATTTTTATTAAATAAATGGAAGACTGCATTGAGTCAAACTTTAGAAACGTAGTAAATAACTTTTGTCCTAAAGATCGGCTATTCACGTGCTAAGTGGTCATCTTAATACTTCTAAAGATTAACTTTAAGATGCCATGTTTAAATAAGCTGTATGGGTAAAATTGTCCATAGAGTGGCGTAATTAGTCATTTTTAAAATAAACTCATCTTTGCTATTGTTTGCAGATAGTTACTTTACAAGTTTTTGTAATTTCCATTCAGTAAATACTTAGAAAAGTTTTATTGTTTATACAGAAAAAAGAGTGTTTTTCACCAAAAAAGTTCTTCTGAAAAGAGTGTGGCTTATCCTTATATTGTTCCAAGACAGTGCCCCAAATTATTCAAAAACGACAATTTCGAAAAATGAATTAAAACACAAATTTAGTTACTTTCTCAAAAAGATAAGTCATACCAATTTTTGGAAAAATAAAGAGTTGTGCCCAACCTTTTACAGTAATTTTTAAAGTTATATATCGCTATATACCTTTTATATTTCTTTTTCTAGAATTGAAGATCCAATCGCATTATAAGGTTTCACTTAAACTAATTAAAGAAACTCTTTGAAATAAATTTTAAATGTCAAAACGTATTCGAACTCAAATTAAATTTTAGACATTACGATCAGGAAACGAAATAATTAAGTAAATGGGAAACTAAGCTCAATCTTTGATAATTAGATCCAATTTCAAAAGCTTAACACTTAAAAAACAGAAAACCCTTAAAAGTATTAAAATATATTGCAAGCAAACTTAAAATTCTGTTAGCATTACATGCTGCGACTTAATAAAATGCAACTATGCGCAAGCATAAAATGGCATAAAACTGCACTTTCAGCGACGAATCGATTTTCTCTGAGAAATTCATCAGTTATAAAAGAGAAACTGTTCACTTTGTTGACGGTTTCGTGAATTGATTATTTTTTAAATTACATCTGGCATATTAAATGCAGTGTTTCATTAAACTTAATTATTTTTCTTCGCTTATTTAATTACCTCCATTATACTATCAATTCTCGCATTTAATAAAAGAAATAATGTTTTATTCGCTTATGAATACAAATGTGTTAATCCACTCGCACTAAAGGGTAATTAAATGAATTCAAGCTATCTTTTGTTACGAATTACTTCATTATAAACTTAACATCCATTCTGCAAAAGTTTTATTGAAATGCATACATTGACCAATATCTTTAAAAATTACATTTAATTTTATATTTATACTTTTGTTGCATTAAATATATCTGCTTTAGGATTAAAAAAAGTTGCGTATTTTGTAAATTTACACTTACAGTTTAAAAATTACTCATTGTTAGCGGGTACTTTAAGCCTTTCAGATCTACTGTAGCTGAAATGCAACATATTGTCGTAACATAAAAGTACTTTTATGAAAAAAGTGTTTAAGCATTTTAGTTTACGCAAAGAGTCTGGTCAGTAGAGCACTGGGCCCATGTCCGAGAGTTCGTGGGTTCGAAACCCGCCGACCGAAGACACCCCGTGTAATAAAGTGACTGATGCACGTTAAATCTGCCACTGAAAAACAGGAAACGTACACTCTGCCTTAAATTTGCTCGGTTTCACCAAGCAGGCTTGCTAGTATGGCAAGTGGCATTAGAAACAACAACAACAGTTTAGGCATCTTGAACTAATTTGTCTTTTTTTTTATTGGTAACGGCGTCACTTAAAAAATACAGCAGCTGCCTTTTTTTGCAATTGTAGTGTAGTTATTTTATTTATTAATAGTTTTTTATTTATTTATTAATAGACAGCTTATAAGCCTATGTCAAGATGAGAGAAAAATAGTCCAAATTACAGAAGGGCTTCTCAAAGATACAGAGATTTTTATATTTTATAACCGTCCTTGAACAACCGACCACATTTTGAGTTTACGACTACCAATGTTCAANGTTTAGGCATCTTGAACTAATTTGTCTTTTTTTTTATTGGTAACGGCATCATCTAAAAAATACAGCAGCTGCCTTTTTTTGAAAATGTAGTGTAGTTAATTTATTTATTAATAGTTTTTTTTTTATTTATTAATAGACAGCTTATAAGTCTATGTCAAGATGAGAGAAAAATAGTCCAAATTACAGAAGGGCTTCTCAAAGATACAGAGATTTTTATATTTTATAACCGTCCTTGAACAGTTGACCCAATTTCGAGTTTACGACTACCAATGTTCAACCCCATATTTTGTAATTTTGAACCAAATCCAGAAGATACGGAAACTCCTGGATCAAGTATTGGGTAGAAATTTTGCTTTAGTGGAGGACTTTTTTATGGAACTAACCCTCATTTGCGCAACAAAATGAGGAAAACCTCCCATGGTTAGCCTGACGTTAAGGGGAGTCTAACCACTGATCCGTCTACCACTGGAGATATTTTACGTCAGCACTGTGCATTCTAATATAAATATTGTAATCTTAAAGAATGATATCAAAATTGCTGGAGTTAAAATTAATAAAAAGGAGTAATTACCTTCTCCTCATTTCAGTCGATCTGAATTTCGTATGGGTAAATTTATCTTCCCTTCTTTAAGCTTCAAACATGATCTTACAATTGTGTTTTGGAATGTGAAATCCTCCAAAAGATTAGCTGTTAAAAGAAAAATTGTTTACGTAGAGTTGCTCACCATATTTTTGGCTAATCCTAGCTTACCCGGGTTTATGGCGGAGTCAAAACCCTATATGTCCAAACTGCAGAGCGTTTCGAAGATCAATGAGACTACTCGGCTTGGGAGAACTCAATATAATAATAATTTCTTTAATATGAATTTATTAGGTGAACATGAATGTCTTGTTTCTCCGAGAAAAATTTAAAGTATGAAATATTTGATCTTCTAGATTTCAGATTTTTTTTCCAAAAAGAAAATTAACGAGAAAGTTCCTCCTATGGTAAATTCAACTAGGTCTTTTCCATTTGATTTAAAAAATATAATTGTAGGAATCTGCAATTATAAGGTACCATATGAACGTCTATACAAGTTCAGTTGGACATAGGTTTCCTACAGACGTATTTTTTTTTTTTTTTTTTTTTTTTTTTTTTTTTTTTTTTTTNTTTTTTTTTTGCAAACCAATACCAGAGATGCCAACTTTCACAGCTTTGTAAATTAGTATTTTCTAGCGGTAACGAAATTTAAGATATTTTTAGTTTAGTATTTTTAATTTTAATTAGTTTTCCACCACTAAATATTAAAAATTATAAGAATCATGTAACATGCAACCTAAAAGCATTTATTATTTGGTTACTGTGTTTTAAAGTAAGCGTAACTATGCTCATTTTACAAGTTATGCTTATTGAATTCGCTACCACTTTATTAAAACTTTTCCAGAGAGCGGAGCAGTTGGCATCCCTGCAATACAGTGGTGGTTATAAATGTATAGATTGTTCGATGTTTATCTCCTTTTTGTTATCACTATTAACCCTATAAGACCTAATAATACAAGCAAAAATTAGCCTGTATTTTTCTTTGTGTAAACCTTTAAAAAAACATACAGAATTGTACAATAGAAAAATTGTCAATTACCAACTCAATTAGCAGCATTTTTTGTAAGTTTAGAGAAAAAAAAAGTTGTTAACTTCCTCTCCTCGTTCGATCGATCTGAATTCGGCATGGACAAATATAACATCATTTCTTAAAGCTTCAAGTCTGATATTTCAAACTATGCCAACAGTTTTGCCAGGTAAAATTTTCCTAGACATTTGTTCCTTAAAGGAAGGTTGTTTACATAGAGCTACTAGGAAAGTGTTTCCATATTTTCTCCGAACTCCGGAGCTTTCCATGTCAGGCATAAATTTTGAAAAGAAAAAAGAAGCAAGAAATTAATTATCAATTCCATAGAAAGAATATTTTAACCAGAGATAACAATGCAACCTTTATATTTATGGCATATATTTCAGACATGTTTTCAAACAGTATCAAGTCATCAAATTTCATCTATTCACCGTGGTCTTAGGAGATTACCATGAGATTAGACATTCATCCCAACTTGGCAGACTTAGTCCAGTAGAACTCTCACAGCTGAAGCTTGGAATACAGCCCCACACAAGGACGCTGCCGTCCTAATCCCCTCAAGGGTTCTAAATGAAGGGGGAGAACTGTTTTGCATAACGTGTTGTTTGATCAAGAGTTCTGAAATTCTTGCCTTTTGTGTGGGATTAACCCTTTCCGCCTAATCAGACAAAGGAGTTGTCTCTTGTTGGTTGGAGATAAAATAAATGGATCTCGATATGAGTTTACCTTTCAAAACTGTTGTATTTGCTTATCGATGAACTGTTTACGAACAACTGGATTGTGAATTCCAGACTAAATAAGGCAATGGATTACAATGATTGAAAATGCATTGATTGAAACTTCTGTCACTACGAAAAGTTTTAAAATTTTGTATTGAAACAATTAATGCATCGCACTTTTATGTTTCTAGAATGATATTTGTTTTAAAAATTTCTTATACTATCCCCATTTAAATAAAAAAAACTACCAGCAAATTATTGCTTATGCATTTGCTTATCGATGAACTATTTACGAACAACTGGATTGTGAATTCCAGACTAAATAAGACAACGGATT